TAATAATGGTAGATCTAACCAATAAACTTGATTAGTAAGGATATTTTAGGAAAAACAACACATATTCATTACAAATAACTAACTTAACTAAGTTTTTTAATCTCCCCAAATTAGTCAACAGGGTCTTATAATTAGGACCGGAGGTAGTAAATAGCGCAACTTGTATTTTGACTTACTTAGCTTATTGTAATAGATAGATAGAGATCATCACACACACACACACACGCAATTAATATAAAATCTAAAAAAAAAAACTACATTATTCTTGAGTTATAAGCAATACAACTTAAATTTAATATAGAACACGCCACGATCCATTTAACTAGCCATGATGTACACTTAAATGGTCATGGACACGTTAAGAGTTGACAATTGATATGATAAACAAACATATTAGACTGTAAGCCCCATGTGGCTTAAGGGAGAAATACTGGTTGATTTATTCATTCATCAAATCATGTCTGATATATTAATAAAAGTATTCTCATTAACATGTGATGATCTAATGAGACGTACTTAAGATTAGATGATTAACATTGAGAATAGAGCATAAGGGATCTTTTATGTAAATGACAGCATTTTAAAGCTGGAGATTGAAGAAAGTTAAAACACCAACCAACCACTGCCATGGCAGCGATCAGAGTGATCTCTAATACTACAATCCAAGCTCGAAGCCAAGTTAATAATGGCGACTCACCTGAGCAAATCGAGCTCAATCCATGGGACCTTCGTTTTCTACTTCTCGAGGGTGGTCAAAAGGGGCTTCTTTTCCACAAACCCACCATGCCATTACCACTAGTGATCCAGCATCTTAAAGAAACGTTTTCTTCCACCCTCGACTTCTTCGTGCCCCTCGCCGGCCGTCTTGCGGTCGTCCCACATGGTGGTGATGACGGCACCTCTTCCGTCTTTGTTAGTTGCAACAATGCAGGAGCAAGCTTTGTTCATGCTATCGCAGAGAACACTACAATTGACGACATCCTCGAACCCACTTATGTTCCTCCAATTGTTGAGTCCTTCTTCCCACTTGGAAAATCTAAGAACTTTGAAGGAACTCATGTACCATTAATGGCGGTTCAAGTTACAGAGCTTGTGGATGGCATCTTCATTGCTTTCTCAGTGAACCATTGTGTTAGTGAGGCGAAGCCGGCCTTGGATTTCATGAATACATGGGCTCAGATTAGCCGAAATGGTTTGAACCCCATAGAGTCAAATTTGAAGCTCGCTTCGTTTGAACGATGGTTTCCCCATGGTAACATTGAACGTCCTATACGAATACCTTTGAGAGATATAATGGAGAAATATGCTGATGAATATGCTAGCTCTCTTCACCCACCTCCAATTTCTAAGAGGATCTTTCACTTCAAAAGGGAAAATATTACTGAACTCAAAGCAAAAGCTAACTCAGAAGTAGAAGATGGTATTCTAAGCAACAAAATCTCCTCTCTGCAAGCTGTTATCAGCCATGTTTGGAGGTATGCAATCAAAAATCTACGTCTTGATCCCGAAGAAGAAGTGCATTACAGCATCCTCATAACTGCCAGACCTAGAATTTCAAACCCACCTATTCCAGACAACTATTTTGGCAACACAGTGCAATTTGCTACCGTGACGATGAAAGTAAGGGACTTGGTGGGAGTGGGAGGTCTTGGGAAGTTTGCTTTGGAGATGAACAAGGTGATCTCATCATACACAGAAGAAAAGATCAAGAGCGACTTTGAAGCTTTGATCCCAAATCCAACCATCAGTTTACAAAGTGGCAACTTTGGGAAGGTAATGCATACTGGTGGCAGCCAAAGATCCAACTTTTACACTATTGACTTCGGCTGGGGAAGGCCTTTGGCGCTTCGTCGAGGTCCAGCCTTTATGTATGATTGGGACTTAGTAGTTGATGCTGGAGCAGAAGAAGATAGCTTTGATATTGAGCTTTGTATCTCCTATGAAATATTAGAACTTATGGGAAGGGATCCCGAGTTCATGCATGCGGTGTCGTCTCCGCCGCCCCCGCCGCCTCCTCCTCCTCCGCCATTGCCAACAGGTCGACTGTGATAGTAGAGGCAGAGCTTCATGTCATATTTTAATTTTCATCATATCATTTATTATCTTTGTATTCCATAGTATTTGTGTGTGTGTTTCGATGGTGTCGTCCTTTTTTAATAATGCTTTCTGTAATTAATATAAAAGTTAGTTTAACTTTTATTTTCGTTTTAAATATAAGACTCCAATTTACTTTCTCTATCATATTTATCAATTTTTTTCAAAGTGGTTCTTGTACTAATGATAATTTTAACTAATATACTTGATTAGCAAGGATACTTTAAAAAAGATAACATATATTTATTACAAATAACTAACTTAACTAATTTTTTTAATTTACTCAAATTAGTCAACTAGATCTTATATTAAAAATCAGAGGTAGTACATTGGAAAAAGACATGCTAATATAATAAAATTCCAAGATGCTTTTCACTTCCTTTTTTTTTTTGGGTAAAGTTCTATCTACCGTTTCTTGCTTACACACACACACATATATATGTATATATTATATCTATGTGTATATATGGGGAATCCAGATCTTGTTTTATAGGCAAAGTTGACTTAGTGGATGAGTCTCATTCTGTACAAGATATTACACGTGATTAGACATCATAAATCATACTCCTCCGATCCTTAATATAAGACCCATTTAACTAATTTGATTAGATTAAGAAGTTAGGTGAGTTAGTTAATTATAAGAAATATGACACATTTTTCCTAAAACATCATAATCATCTTTCTTAATACCCCATCTCCCTCTTCTACTTAATTATGGTTGAGAGAGTATTTATAGGGGTAATTTAGAGAAAATTGATAAATATGAGAAATGAGTCGTATATTTAAGACCAAAACCAACTCAATAATTGGGTCCTATATATATTAACGACAGGAGGAGTACTTGGGTTGCGGATGGAAAATGCCATTTAGAGACACACGAGATACATTATTATAGATATTTAAATGTTTCATAAATTGAAATCGTTTTAAGAAATTGAATTAAACTAAAATTAAATGTAAAAGTATCACTCCCGGCGTCTCTCTTTTTAGACTTAAATTTTTGATTTAGTTATTTTGAAAATCAATATTTAGTGCTGAGATGACAATCTTGGGAAACAAAACTCGGTAAATATGTAAACTGAGTCATCGGGGCTCATGTACCCATAAAATTAAACGCACACGTAGCAGTAGTATTGTTTACTCTTAGCCTGCAGAGAGGGCATAGACATATATTTTCTAAACACAATACTTGTATGAAGTTTATTATGTTCATCAAATGCAAAATTAAATTCAATCTCAACCCCATTTTCTCTCTCCATTATATATGATGAATTTGTTACTTGACACAAAACTCCCAGGGCCATCATCTCAGAATTATATTTTGCTGCATCAAATTAAAAAGAAATACACTATTCCTCTGTACTAAATTTAGAAGCTAGTTAAGGATGAACTGATATATAATGTAATGTTACATAAAAATATTTTAAGAAGATTATGTTACATGACTTAAAATTAAGTAATTTATTTATTTATTTTAGCATATCTAAATTAATTAAGTATAAGAAACGGAGAATTATTATTTTATTATGGGATAACACATGTCTGTTTGTGAAGGGATATGACTGTATGGGAGAGGAATGTCTCCACTAACCTCTCTCTTCACTTAATGTTTTTATTATTAGATCAAACTTCAATGGCTAAGACTTATTTTATAAAGATATTATTAAAATATTAAATGTTAAATAATAAAAAATATATATAAATAAATTTACACTGTTAAGTGTTAAAATTTGATATAAGTAGTTTAATATGATAAATTTTTTTTATATTTGATATTATAATAATAGTTTTACTCAAGTTTAAATCTCAACCATTAAAAGTTAATCTTTGGATGAAGAAATTAAGTAGAGAGAGAATTTAGTGGAAACATTCTTTTCTCATGACCTGTAGCTCTGAAATTACATTTATAACAGTACAAGATGAGATAAGTCTCATGCAACCTCACTGGTCACTGCTCAGATATGGTGTTCACGATGCTGCCAGCCCATAGTTTCACCGAATCAGAATCGGTCACACGCAGTTTTGGGACCTACAGAACATAGAACAACATGTGAACTCTCTCTTAGCTTGAAGCAATCCAGTGTTTACTATAGAAGTAAAATAACTAGTTTATTAATATTAAAAAATTAATTAAATTAGTTATTTATAATAAATAGGTATTATCTTTCTTAAAATGTACTACTTCCTATCTTTAATATAAGGCTAGTTGACTAATTTAAGTAGATTAAGAAAATTTGTTAAGTTAGTTATTTGTAATAAACATGTGTTATCTTTTCTTGAACACTGTTACTAATCATGTGTATTAGCTACATATACAACTACTTTAAAGACCCTTTTGAAAAAAAATAGATGAATATAAGAGACAAAATTGATTGGGGTGTTATATTTAGGATTAAATTGAATGTCAAACTAGCTTTTATACTAAAGACCGAAAGTAGTATATCTTTATTAATCATGTGTATTAGAACTTCTATGTGATGAAAGTCTTTTAACATGTGCAATCAATATAAAAACTACTTTAAAAAACAGATAAATATCATAGACAAAATGAGTTGAGATCTTATATTTATGAATAAATTGAATTTTCAACTAATTTTTATACTAATGACTCAAGTTAGTATTTGAATTTAAATTTGGGATGTGACACCTGGTACGTGAATCCCTCCAAGGCTTTAAAAACACAAAGAGGGCAAGTGTTTCAAGGAACTCCGTTCCTGTCTCCATCTCACCTAATAGAAACAAATCCTCACATGCAAACTGCCACGTAAAGGGCATGCGAGCATGAGAAGTGGCCGGCTACTGCATAATTATGTTGCAATTTTTGTTCGTCAGTATGATTTTCAATTTTAGATTCATCATTTCTGCCTAGTCCTTTCGTTGATGAGAAACACCACACGCGCTATCACATGGCGGCAGGTTTTCGAGTGATCTCAACAACTACAATCCAAGCAGGAAGATGCGTTAATCATGAAGATCCACCCAAAAAAATCGACCTCAATCCATGGGGTCTTCGGTTTCTGCTCTATGATTATGCTCAAAAGGGTGTTCTTTTCCACAAACCTCCCATATTATCACCGTCAAACCACACACGGACACTGATACAGCACCTTAAGGACTCGTTTTCTTCAACCCTTGACTTCTTCTTGCCCCTCGCCGGCCGCCTTGCCATCGTCCGCCACGGCGATGATGGCACCTCCTCCGTCTTCATCACTTGCAACAATGCCGGAGCAAGCTTTGTTCATGCTATTGCCGAGAACACGACGATTGCTGACATTCTTGAACCCGTTTATGTTCCTCCGGTTGTCCAATCCTTCTTCCCACAAAGTAATTCCAAAACCTTCGAAGGGACTCGGATCCCATTACTGGCTGCTCAAGTTACAGAGCTTGTGGATGGCATCTTCATTGCTTGCTCAATAAACCATTGTATTGCTGATATGAAGACGGTATTGTTTTTCTTGAATACGTGGGCTAAGATCTCCCGAGATGGTTTAAACCTCATGGATTCAAAATCGAATGGTTTAAACCACATAGATTCAAATTCTAATGTCGCTTCATTCGAACAATGGTTTCCTCATGGGAATATCAAACGACCTTTAAGAATCCCATTCAGGGAAGCAATGGAGAATTATAGTAAGCAGTACACTCAGCCACCTCCATTCCCCAAGAGGATCTTCCACTTCAAAAGGGAAAAAATCGCTGAACTCAAAGCTAAAGCTAAATCAGAGGTCGAGGATGGTGTCATCAAGAACAGAATCTCTTCGCTACAGGCTGTTATCGGCCATATTTGGGGGTCTGTGATCAGAAACCAGCATCTTGATCCAGAGGAAGACGTAACTTACAGATTCGTTGCGACTTCGGAATCGAGAGTCTCTCACCCACCAATACCAGACAACTACGTCGGGAACACTGTGCAATTCACGCGTCTGACGATGAAAGTAAGGGATCTGTTGGGAGATGGAGGACATGGGAAGTTTGTTTCGCAGATGAACAAGATCGTCTCATCATACACACAAGAAAAGATCAAGAGGGAGTTTGAAGATTGGGTACAAAATCCAACAATAAGTTTTCAGAGTGGCACAATTGGGAATGTTTTGGCAACCGGAAGCTCCACCAGGACCAACTTCTACACGGTTGATTTCGGCTGGGGACGGCCGGCGGTGGTTCGAAGCAGCATCGCCAATACAAATGTATGGAAGCTGATGACTGATGTGGGAGCAGAAGAAGGTAGCTTTGACATTGAGGTGAACGCTTCTTATGAGATTCTGGAAGCTCTAGGAAGGGACCCTGAGTTCATGAGTATGGTGGATTAGGGTTCTCCGGTGAATCAACCAGCGCACGAGGTCGACGATACTATGATGGAAAGGTGAAGGAGCGATTGATGAAACGTTTGTTTGTTCTTTTGCACTGCTGCTAGTTGGCATTGATAGTTGCAATACTGTAGTACTATCTGATCATGCTACGTATCCATGAGTATGTTTTGAAGGAAAATTTTGCTTCCAATAAGGTGTTATATTTGCATAAATGGGTAGCAGAAGTGTTTACCGGTTTGCCGGGCAAATACATTGGTCTAGCATAATATTTATGTTTGAATTGATAATGCTGTTCGGATTGATAGGTAGAGGTATTGTTTCATTAGAAGCAATTTTGTAAGAATTCGAATCCAAGCCCTTGGAAATTGCTTTATTTCCTTAAACTCAACCCGGTTAGTTGATGCTGTCAGCTTTAACCCAGTTGCACCATAGTATATGAGATCTCCTTTATCGTGCAAATTTATGAGGCCTTCATCAACAACCTAATTAATAAGATACATACATATGTGTGTGTGTATATGAGATATATATTTCCATATAACTTGGACTTTTTTTTGTGTTTTCGCCATCTTAGAGATTTTTAAATTAACTCAAACGCTTCTCTGTGATTCCACGTACTAAGATTATATTATGGGACTTCTGTTGTTTTGTTGGGAAATTTCAGAAGTCGCCTTATGACTATAGAATGAAGCAAAATATGGGAAGGACGATAAAATATTCTGCGTGCAATTTGAAATTTAAAATAAAACATAAAAAGTGTGGCTGCTGGGATTCGAGCCCAGGTCTCCACGGCCACAACGTGGAATTCTTACCACTAAACTACAGCCACTCTACGCTGCAAGCGGTGTAAACCATATATAAAATATGCATATATTTTGCGATGTAGGCTATTTCATAAAAAAAGAACCAGCAATGAAACTTGTTGCAGATCGTAAAATTAAAGGTAGGGTATAAAATGGATAGATTAATCATAATTTAAATGTCTATATTGTTGTGTTATATTAATATTCCATCCTGCATGGGATGGGGATTTTGGTGGATCTAAAAGTACTAAGAAATAAACGTAAATGCGGAAAATTATAATTACCAATCAGGCCTTCTTCACTTAGAAATATTAGATTAATTAATTATTCAAAATATGGATTTCTTGGTATTATGGAAAGAAAAAGTTGCTATTTCCCATTTAGAATAATGCTTAGTTTTTCTTTTTAATTTTAATATTCATCAATGTTTTTTTGCCAACCAATATTCATCAACAGTCAAGAGCATGAATTGGGGAATAATGAAATGTCTTTGGCTTGGCATGTATTATCTTTGAAGTGTTCCTATATTAGCTTTAATTTGTCTCTATCTCTCCGGGGGGAAAAATTGTCTCTATCTGTCCCACTTATTGAAAAGGAGCAGTGCAGCTATAATTGATTGAAATAAAACATAAAGTATTGTTTGGTACGAGAGAAATGAAAAGAAAGAGACGGAAAGGAAAATTTTAATGAGCTCTGTTTAAAAAATTAAAAAAGTGGGATTTTGAAATTTTATTAAAGACAGGAAGTAATATAAAAGAGTAATAAAAATTAATTAAAAGTTTAATCCTATTTTTTAAATTTTTTTAAATCGAGTTTATTAAAAAAATTTCTTCCCTCCTCTCTTCTTATTTTTCCTCATACTAAACGAACCCTAAGAATGCAGAAAAGCATAGATATAATATTGTGGCAAAAAAAAAAAACTCATTATCAAAGTGATTGTTAGGAATATATAACTACTTTCTTCCACTCTGAAAAAATAATAAAACTTCTTGCCGGCCGAGAATCCTTACCAAAATAAATAAATAAACATCTTGCCAATCTTAAAATACAAGTTACTGGTATCTGGTAAATTAATATAATGAAAAAATCATTGAAATTGGTTTTTTTTGGGGGGGGGGGGGTTTACACATAATGATAAACTAAACTTAAAATATTATTTCGGCCAACAAATTGGAAAGATATGATTACAATACAACGATGTTTTTAGAGAAGATTAAAAATATGAAGTTATTTTCAAAAAAATTTTTAAAGAAATATTTAGAAAAATTAATTAATTAGTTCCGTTACCTTTTTTTATTTCTTCATAACTTAGTCCCTTAATTATCCACTCAGACTCAATTTGTGAAATATTATTTAATTTATTGATTATTGATTACGTGTAAATCAAATCAAAACTGGATAAGTAACTGATTAAATTTTTGAAAGATTTAATTCTTTATTTAATCTCCACCTATGTGATAATATGGCAGGCTGTCCCACCAACACAATACGTTGACATAATAAAAATATTAAGCGTTGTCTGCCCAAGATGTCGGCCAAAAAAATCCAATCAATTCCTCACAATGATGATTGATGAAGAGCGCAGCCCTCAGAGAGATAAGTATTAAAAGAACACCCACTTCTCCTCTTGAATAATTGAGTCGACCAAACTACATGGGAGACGTAGAACAGCATCCCACTTCGAAAGACAGAAAATTATTAATAATCACAACATCCAGCTTCAATTTCATAAATCCATAATAACAAGGTCCCACGTCACATATACGACAGTGCCCTGCCGATTTAGGTGCACAAGCCTAACAGGCAGGCTTTACTTTTGTTGAAACGACAGGCCATATATAATAAATCCAAGAAACACAGGTCCAGTAGAAATACGGACAGGAGCTAGCCTGCTTTATTTTTGGCAGTACGACAGACCCATAAAATCACGCGAGGTCTCACACAATTAAAAAGCAATTAAAATAGGCAAAAGCTTTTATTCTTCCAACTGAATCAAAAGCACTAAACTACTCTTCTTCAACTTCGTCTTTCCAGCATTTCAGAGTTGATCTAGGTGAGCCACATTCGGTGGTCTTGACGAACTTTTGGTAGACAACAGAACCACCCATTCCAAGCTCCTCAAGGCTCCCCTCTTTGCGACTGTAGCCCTTCATGTCCAGCATACAGAACTCCTCAAATGTCTTGCTTGCAACGTCCGCATGCACAGCTACTGAAAACTCCATTGGTTCAAAGCATGACAGCACCCTCAAGACTAGGTCCTTCAGATTCAAGGCTTTCAGATCATACCCCGCTGTCTCAAAGCTAGCGTAGCTGAATCCATCTTCTGGCGTAACATGAATGGTAGAAACAGCAGAACCCTCAACTGAGTTCATTGAATAACCGCATGGATCAAACTCAAAGTCGCATATTTCAGAATCTGGAAGGATCTTTCTAATTCCAGATTTCGACGTCATATGGGCTGCAGAGCCAGATTGATCTTTGTAGAAAACCAAAGCTTTGTCTCTATCCAAACCAGTCATGCACATCTCGAGGGTGTAAACAGAGTCACATGCGCTCACTGACTGAGCGGAAGCAGAGTACACATGCCACCTCTGTGGGCTGTCCACGCCACCCATAATATAAGCCACGCTGCCCAATCCAAGTTTCCCGAAGTGGCTATCCAGGACTGAGACTTCCTCAGAAAAGTGACGGTGTGGAAAGGACTGAGCTCCAGGGAAAATGAAGCTCCCACGAGTGTACCGTACAGATCTAACGGCTAGGTTAAGGTGCTCAGCCATCTTCAGTATGGGTGGGATTGAAAGGAGTAACTTGGTAGTCCCACAGGTTTTGATGATGATGTTGTATGGATAGATAAAAAGGCTAGACTCAGAGAGAACATAGGAGTCAACCTCGTCGTTTGACAGTGATGACACAATGGTGCACTCTGCTGGTGCTAAAATCTCATCCAACTGGGATTTTGTAAGAGATCTCAGACCCTTTCCTTCTGGGTCACAAAAGATTCCAGGCTGAAAGAAAGATATTTCCAGCCTCTTCTCATAACCTTCGAAACCGATTGCTGAAACAGGCATCGTCATTTTGCCTCAGAAAACGGACACAGTAGAACCAAACCACAGGTGTGAAGAGAGCACGGTCGCAAAAAGGGGGATCGGAAAGACGTTGATTGAAGTAGAGCAGTAAATAAACCTACGAAAAACAGGAAAAAAAGAAAGAGCTAAAAAAAAGACGGGATCAAAAGCAGGGGATATCAGGATGGCTTGCGAGCGCACTGCAAAAGAGCAAAGAAAAAAAAAAGAGCATTAGCATCGTTCATTATTCAATGAATCAAATAATCCGAAAATCCAAATTCCATATAGCATATGGGATATAAAACTTACGTTGGAGTAAGCAGCAGATCTGAACTTCTTGATTCCACCGTTGGGTCGAACGTCTTCAATGCTGTAGCCAAGGGGAGCTTCGTAGAACAATGATTTACTACTACTACTAGACTTCTTTTTCCCACCTTTGGACTCCATTAGATCATACAGTTCTGCTTCATCAATCAGATTGCAAACATTTTAGCAGATCCCCAAAATTGATGGAAAAGATAAGGTACAGACAAGAGAAACACAAGAAATATTGGAAAAATCATAGATCGACATCATCTAGATCTCATAAGCCAGCAATCAAAAGATGCAAAACAATAAGGCTCGCTCAAATGATCAATACTTAAATAGGGGAATAATGATAAGGAAATGCATTACATAAATTCATGGACTTTTAATTAAAACATTGAAATTAACGAACCAGGAACGGGTCCAAATTGTTCAACTAGGCAAAAGTAGACAAATACGTTGAAAAATACAGATCTATTTAAAAGCAGGGAGTTCCTAGCAGAAACATATGAAAAAGGATACATTTAAATTTTGAAACTCTAGTCATTATGAAAAACCGATCCAAGAACAAAAAGCTCGAAACATACAAAAAACATCATGCTTAAAAACTACGCAGTCTAAACAACAGCAAAATCAGATATAGAACAATGAGAAATGGCAACAATAATCAAAGAATGAAATAAAATTTACGAAGATGGATATATTGTTCTTTAATCTAAAATATATGCAATAACACAAATATTAACAGCAGAAAAGGATACGCAACGAGAAGCAACCAAAATAACGTACCTGAATTGATAAAACTCGAGAATTCTTAAACGTTCACTCTGTAAGAACCTTCAGCCCCGTCACCGAATCGTAGAATATGGGAAATCAAATCGAAACCTTCGGGCCAAACAAAAAGAGATCGAAATCAGAAACAGCAGAAACTACAGCAAATCGAGAGAAAGAAAGAAAAATCAAGAATAAAAACACCAAATTGATGAATTGTAAGACCACGGAAGAGTTCGATACCAGATATCGAAAACCCTAGAAATCGGTGGAACAAGAAGAACGAACAAATAGAACAACTTCGCCGCACAGCCTCTGCCTCCTTGAGCTTTGTTGAGATTAGCCGAATCTGTTAGGGTAACAAGGCGAAGACGTGAATTTATAGGTGACGTGAAATACCGGGACCGTGTTTGCCACTCGTTTAGCGAAATTACAGTCCTACCCTTTAGCCGCTTCCGTGAAGTTTCCTTATTGACGATTGTGATGACTAAGTTACCTTCGCTCTTTTCCCTTTTATTTTCTGCCAACAATTACCTTCGGCAGATGGGGAAAGCGTATTATCGTATCTTCACGGATCCAGTAAAAGTCAAAAATCGAATTTCTAATCATTTATTTAAATTTCTTATTTGACATGCTAAATTATTTTCTTATGAAACATAAAATTTTATAAATTTTTATTTAATAAAAATGTCCTTGAAACGAAATTATTGTTTTTAATTTAACCGAATGATATATTATGAAAACAGGTTTCTAATCATTTATGATCGCAAGATTTTACATTTTGCAAAAGTAATTGTTTTATTTTGGCCAAAAATATATATTTATTATTTAATATTTACTAAGCTTTATAAGTAGCACCATATATATATATATATGAAGATATTTTCATCAATATAAATGTCAATATAACTATATATATATATCATATATTGATGATTTCTCATGTTAATAAGAAAACATTTTTAAAAAAAAGATTAGAGAAAATGTAATAATTTCTTCTTTTTTTTCCTTTTTTTTTTTTGGTTTGCTAACATAACATGATTTGGTTGATCTTTGGTTTCCTCGATATGTGGAGTGTGGAGGGCACAATGATGATGAAGGATTGAACAAATTATGAGGACCTTTTCTTTTGCATGAGTAGCCTATCATCATAATAACTTAATAAGTGGTGATAGGATCAACCTCCTTTTTTGCTATATTATATAGCTATCATCATTTTAAATTTATTCTTTTTTTCATTAAGATACCCTTATCTGTCCCGGAATCATGGTAAATTATTTATATTCTTTCCGCTTATTAAGGACTAGGCTTCTTTTTTTAACGTAGGGATTTGAATAATGTCACGTGGTACACACACAAATACACACACACACACATGCATGCATATGAGGGAGTTGGGTATGTTTGGGTTTCTGTTTCATTTTTCTATTTGGGTCTTGTGCATAAATTTTTCAAAGAACAATTGAGAAAAAATATCTCTAATTGAAAATTTAAATGAGTAATGGTAATTTTTTTGTATATTTTTTCGTATGCTGAAAGTATTGGTGTTCTAAATTTTAGATATTATTCACCAAATAATTTTTTTTCCATTAGGGGTTTTCTCCTAATATTCCCCCAAAACCCTTAAATTGTATTTAATATTCACATATTTAACTTACAGATGACACAAATTGCAATTATGAAATTTTTGGCTTCTGAATATTGATTTCTAAATTTATAACGCCAGTCGACTTATAATGTAAAAATTTAACTTGTAAATATTAAATTTCTGAAGCATTAAGTGAAATTTGAAAGGTCTAACTATGTATAATTTTTCACTTGAGACTTATAAGTAATTTCTCCTTATATACTATCTCCTGTCCTTAGTATAAGAACTAGTTGACTAATTTAAACATATTAAAAAAATTAATTAAGTTAGTTATTTGTAATAAATAGATGTTGTTTTCATTAAAATACCCTTGTTAACTACGTGTATTAACTAGAACTACCATGTGATGAAATTTTTAACATGTACAACTACTAAAAGAACTACCTTTAAAAAGAGATAAACACGAGAAACAAAATGGATGTGAGTCTTATATTTAGAATCAAATTAAAAATTAAACTAGCTCTAGTATTTCATAAATTTATTGTGTTGGACCAATCATATGTTTGCCTAAATATTATACTCAGAAATTTTACCTAATTTTTAATCAAGTATGTATAGGCCTTTTCTTTCTCTCTTGTTTTTTTTTTTTCAAATCCTTACAGTTTCATATAATTTTTTTAATTAAGCCCCCTGTAGTTTTAAGTCACAGATCAGGAGGAAAAAAAAAGTATAAAAATATAATTAAAAATTAAGTAAGACTATAAGAATTTGATAAAAAAAGAAAAAATTTTAAAAAGGTGAAAATAAAGTTAAAGCACAAATTTGTTTCAAAAGTTTTTACTTAAAAATCCCATGTATCTAAAAAAAATTTAGATGTAAATTTGCACTAAAATTTTAGAATCGTAATAATACTACTTTTTACTGATTAAAAGTCAAAGTAAAACTATAGCAACGTAGATTTTTAATTTTCTTTAATTTGAATTATTTAGGGTTCGAAAGTGAACAGAATTCGTTAAAGTTAACAGAAAATGTCAAAGAAGGCCGGCAAACCAAGGCCAGGATGGAAGGAAAAGAAAAGGATGAAAGAGGGAATCGGATTCGGATATGTTATTATTACCACTAGGGTCATGAAAGAACGATGAGATTTAAAGAATCATAAGATTCTTTTTTCTTTTTTTGTTTTGGGTGGGGAGCAAAAACCTTTTTGTCGCTTCAATCTCCACTTTTCTTCCGTTCTTTGCCATCCATCAGTAGAACTTTGACATCTGATGCCTCTAAAACAGAGCCCACGTGGCCCCCTCAGTATCCTTATCTTTGATTCTGTGCCTCTCCTTTCCTCCACGAGACTATTCTCAGCCACTCAATTATATATTGTTCACAACTTTTTTATAGAAGCTTTCCATTCTTGTTCACACACAAATATATTACCGTCTTTTTGAATACAAATCATCTTCCAAATTTCGAATTGACCCTCCACCAATATGAACTAGATTGGGTTAGGTACAGATGTTAGTTTTAATATAAATGGTGATCACATCTTAATACAAGTCATCTTCCAAATTTTTATATGGGTATCTGATTAGTTAGATGCAAGTATTACTTGGGCCGGGTATTTGGTTAGAAACAAAATCATGATTTTAAAAATATTTTTACAATGTATGAAATAAATATGTAAAAAAATTTATCTCAATTTCCAAAAAAGTATTTTTTAAAAGTACTCTCCTGGTTCTTAATATAGAAATCAATTCTTGAGTTGGTTTTTATCTTAAATGTAAGACCCGTTTCTTATATTTATTAATTTTTTCTAAATTACCCTTATGGATACTCCATCAACCATAATCAAGTAGAAAAGGGATAGAGAATATTAAGAAAATGATTATGGTGTTTTAGGAAAAATATGTCATTTTCTTATAATTAACTAACTTATCTAACTTTTTTAATCTAATTAAATTAGTTAAATAAGTTTTATATTAAGATCGGATAGTATTTTTTTACTCATCGAAGCACCCTAAACATGCTCTCTCTCTCAAAGGTGTTTTTGCGTTTATCTGGATGGGAACGCCGGACCTCATGCACGCTTGATTAGTCAAGGTTTTTTTTTTCTATGCATAAATATTTTTTTATTAAAAAAAATTCTATTAGAAATATTATTGAGCACTGAACACTTCTGCTAATAAAATTTAAATCTTAATTTATTACGTTACGAGCCACCTGTTCGTTTCACTGGATCCAAGCTCATTGATAGTCAAAGTCTCTTTCATTTCGTGTTGATAAGGTTTTAACTTTTAAGCTGATTGGATTGATTGGATTGCGGAAAATTTTTTTCAAAAGGTTTTGTTTTTTAAATTGGATCTTAACTATATATTTTAAAAAAATCAATTGGTTATGAAAAATGTGCCATAATGCTTCCAAGAATTTGTAGATGCTCGGGATTAGTGATTCTTTTTCTGAAAAAAAAAACTGGATTAATATTATTGTAGGTCCTTGTAATTTGATGAAATTCTAATTTTAATCCTTATCATTTCAAATCATGACTTTTGATCATATAGTCTTACAATAACTTAATAATGTGTTTTGATTTTGATCATTGTTTTTTGTGGCCAGATTTTTTATTTTAATCATTGAGTTTTAATTTTCGTCCTTATATTTAATGGCATTAACTCAAGATCAAATTCTTATCAAACCATATAAACCAAAATCATAATATGAAATTCCAAAGATCAAAAACTAAAACTCAGGTATGTTTAACAAGGATAGTACCTAATATTCTTAATATACAACGTAATTTATTAATTTAAAAAAATAAAAAAATATTTTAAAGTATTTATATTTATTATTTTCAATTAATTTGTTCAATTTATAAACTGATATATAATTTAATATATACATAAGTATTTTATAAAGATCATATAATATATATTATAATTAAATAATTTATCTTTTTTTTTTTTTAAATTGATCAACTGAGTATTATAGTTCAAATAAGAGGAAAGTATTGACTAAAAATTTTCTTACTGTGTCATGAATAAATTTATAAGTACAATCACTGCACCTACTGTACATTCAATAATTTGCTGTGGACCACAATCTTGTAAATTTTTACACCACATAAATTAAAAACTCTTGTAAATTTTGTGTGGATGAAATTGAGGTTGTTGAGCAGGTGAACCGCCAATACTTCCAACAATTTCTGTGGGACCACAGCCTTGTAATATTCCAATAATGTTTCGTCTTCATTATCTACCAAATGGGATCATACATTTTTGTTTTCAATTAGGAATATTCTAAATTACATTTAAACCTAAGCCTTGTCTGACTGATTCAAATTTCGGATATTATCTTGCTACAATAACAAATAAAGGCTCTCGAATTACCAAAATTACACAGAAGTCACCTGAATAAGCAAAATTACCATGAAGAATCTAGTCCTATATTGCAAATACGAAATATTGGTAAAATGTTTGAAATGCTCTTCAGCCAAGTTGTGATTTGGTCTTCTGAAGTTGTCATTTGCTAAAGTAAACTTATTATTTCTCATAGTCAACTTGTCATTTAACATACCTCCAACTAAGTTGTGATTTAGTCTACTGAAATTGTAATTCTCTAAAGTGAACTTGTCATTTCCTATAGTCAACTTGTCATTTGGTTGATAGGCATTTCAGACATTTCTATAAGATTTCATATTTACAATATGAAATCGGGTCTCTCATGATAATTTTACTTATTCAGATGACTTATGTGTAATTTTGATAATTGTA